CCGTACAGTCAGGTGGTTACAGTAAGTGATTATCTTAACTTTGAGATTGTTACAGTAAGTGATTATCTTAACTTTGAGATTGTTCAATAAGTGATTATCTTAACTTTAAGATGGTTACAGTAAGTAATTAACTTAACTTTGAGATTGTTACAGTAAGTGATTATCTTAACTTTGAGGTGGTTACAGTAAGTAATTAACTTAACTTTGAGATTGTTACAGTAAGTGATAATCTTAACTTTGAAGTGGTTACAGTAAGTGATTATCTTGACTTTGAGGTGGTTACAGTAAGTAATTAACTTAACTTTGAGATTGTTACAGTAAGTAATTAACTTTCAAATTTTTTTCTTTGTTTTTTTTGGAATTATACTATACAGTTTCTAATTTCATATTAATATCTATTGAGCTATTTGGACACTAGAAGGCTTTAGTTACACTCTAGAATAACAAAGTGCTGTGGTGCCACAGATGTGAGTTGCAATACTGTGGGCAACATAGTTACCATCTACATATATTGGGTTTGACAAATTTCTGATCAGTTGATGGTGTAAACTTATGGAGTCAAAGTCTTTTCCACAGAAATATATTTGTACAGTAAGATTTAACAAAAACGTACAGCCAAAGGAGTCAGTATTCACCCTCAAAGCAAAAATACTCACACAGCTAGAGCATTTAAAACAGCTCTAAAACCAATCAATAACTATTTCCTCTCCCTGAAAGCTGTGATTATGAAAGAGAACCCTCTAACTCACTCCAAAAAAGCTATTATGATGAAGCTGATGCATATTAGCATATATACAAGGATTTGCAGTATACAAAAGTTCATAATGCAGGCCTGCGATGGTATTATCATCTTGAAATATTTACACTGAATCCGAAAATGATATCCATTTTTCTCCATCAAGTACAGATTTTTCACAAAATGTCATATGTACGTTTACATAAGTGAATCATTTTCATTGAAATCGGGTCACATTTTGTGATTTCGAGCAATAGCACATAATCTTGGCCATCAGTTGGAGCATGATCAGTGAAGAAGGGTAGGATGGAATCTTCAAAATCACTCTTATAAAAAAATTTTTATTTTCTAAAATTTCTGTAATAATTCAACACAGTGTTAAAAACCTTTGCACAAAGTTACTGTAATATAAATACGTACCTTTCTCTTTCAATGCCCAGTTTTTTACTGTGTCCAAGGTCACTTGTCGGTCTCTCTGTAAATCCAGTTTGTTGCCTAATACAATCATTGACACCTTCAACATGAAGAAAATATTCATTGAAGTATTGTACTTCGCTCAGTATTCTAGATGTTATATACCAAATTAAAGCTTCTTGGTGTTACTTATTACTTTCAAACAAGCAATGAAAGGTAATCAGTTCAAGAGAAGACTATAACAGGGATGGAAGTTAAATTGTCTGTTCCTTCATCGTTCTAAGAGTGAAAAAAACATTTCAGACACGAGCATAAAATCCAAACTATCTGCTCAAGGAACAAGAATTCATTTGAAATCCCATTTCTACAGTGTTCACAATGTCTAAATTCCAATTAAAGAAGAAGTTTGTAGGCTTGTATACTTTTCCAAGTATTAACTGATCAATAAAGAATATCTTTAAACCATTATACAAAAAGTGAATTTATTTGGACTACCAGTAATTCAACTATAATGGCCTTTTATTAGTTACTTATGACTATGTAACCAATTCATTTTTAGTTAATAAAGCTGCCACAATCCAGCAACAAGACTGCTTACCGCTACAGAGAGTAACTAGTGACCGTGATATAAGTGTAAGATAGTAGCGTATCACCGCAACACAAGTTGTGTACGGTTAAGAATCGACAATGAAAGTTCACACACAAACATCTAACACATAAAGCAACAAAACCCAAAAATTAATGGTTTCTCAACCACCACTAAACAATAAAATATAAATATTTTTTGGTTTTCAAATATGACAAATTTAATTCAAATTCACTAAGCCTGAAAGGAAAATACATTCTTACTACGTGCCTCTAAAATCTGAATTCCACCTATGACCACTTTTCATCCTGTAAACAGTTTACACAATATGTAAATATCAAAGTTACTACCATTAATTAGTAAATATCTACGATAACCTGATTAGAGCCTTCAATGGAGTATTTCCCGTCATTTTAACTTAGTAAACAACACAGCAGCCAATGAGAGCTTATGCTTACAAACACCGTTATACAATGGCATAACGATCCTGAAAAACATTTTAAAAAAAAATAGAATTAACTTTGCAATTACAACTCAAGAGTATTTCTTCATGATAAATTAATTTTACTGCAATCAAAAGATTTAATTCATTAATATAACAAACACAGATCTCCATATTCTGTATTAAAAATATAGAATAATCATAACTTGTAAAAAGGGTTTTGTACATTTTTGAGTTTCTTTTTATTTCTGTTTTAAATTTTGATCCTGTAGCAGTCAAATTTGCAGAAAAGCATGTAGCACTCTTTATAAGTAAATTTAATTTCAGTTACAAGTAACTTACGAATAAATTGTTACAGCCATTTCTAGTTTGTAACAAAGATCGTTTAAAAGCACCCTTGGCTGTATGTGGGGAGTGAAGTAAAGGATAGCACAAGGTTATATAGTATGAGAACTATTTCTAAAGAGTTAACAATAAGACCAGGCAGGATTTGAGTCGGCAACTTTTCTTACTGAGCAGCTGATTTAGCCAACCTAGGTAAGGAGTCTGTCAAATTCTGCAAAGCCTCAGTTTTCACTATATTGGTTGGTATGGCCAAAATGTTGACAGACTCTTGAGATAAGATCTTTTACTTATCACTGGCCTTCCTTCGGGAGTGTAGGTGCTTTAACCAACAAGGTCTATTGCTTCCTTTGGTTTCAGTTTCAACCCACTTCTTGACGGATATATAGGAAACCTTTAATATTTAAAAGAAATGTTGGTTCACATCTTTAGTGATATTGGTTTACAAGGAGATTTACCACAACCAATGTCCCCTTGCCCACCACTGATTCTAACAATTGCATCTTTAAACTCCCCCTGTGTTTAGTTTCTTTGTTTTTAATAAAGTTATGACTCAGTGAGATATGATACAAATGTTTACTTACATCCTTCTTATCTTTGTTTTTGTCAATATCTTTCTTGATTTGATCCAAAATACTGAAGGATTCGGCATTATTTATAGCGTAAACCAAGACGAACCCCTGTAAAAAAAATACCATGTAATAAAGTTCATAGTACAGTTACAAATTAAATTAGGTAATTTAAATATTAAATTTTATAAACTATATATGGAACAACTGTATTTAAACTTACGAAAATGAAACGTAAAAGATTTATACTACAAATATCAGTGTTCACATCTACAAATGACATTAACAGGTCACTGGCCTTTTTTAAATAATCTTTTCATAAAGTGACAATCAATGGATGGAAATATTACCCAATGTTTTACCAAGGTAAAGAAAAATAACTTAAAGATTAATTTGTAATTAACAAGTATAATACCGAATAAATCACATCCAGGCTTGTGCAAAGTGTCACCTGTTGTCAAAACTTGGGGGTACATAATGTACCCATGTTGGCAATAAAAGAGTGAATGAAAACGATACGATTACAAAACCAGTAAGTAAATTTTTTTTCCAAACAAAATACTATACATTTAGGAAGCCTCTCCGTCAAAGTAAGATGTGCTGGAACTTATAACTAAGACTAACTTACATCAGCAGCTGTTAAATAGGCCCTTGGGATTTCACAGTGGGAGGGTTTCTGTAAGAGAAGATTTGTCTTAGAGCTCTTCGTATTCAAGATAAGTCTCCATTTTTGTGTCAGATTACTATAGTTACTATTACCGATATTATGGGTCCTTTTGTCATGTTCAAGGCTAAGAAAAAAAACAAAAAGAGCATAAAAATTGTTATGCTCTTTGACAAAGCATATTTTTTATTACGAATTATAGAATACTTAGTTTCAACTTTCATAAATACTGCAGCCTACCAATGGCACAGCGGTATGTCTGTGGACTTACAATGCTAGAAACCGGGTTTCGATACCCGTGGTGGGCAGAGCACAGATAGCCCATTGTGTAGCTTTGTGGTTTACTTAAAATAAATAAATAAATAGTGCATTCCATTTAAGTTTTAATATAATAAATATTTTAGATGTTAACATTTAATTTTCAACCATTTATATCATGAAACTATATTAACAACTATTTTTGTTATATGTAAAATATTTTTAAAGGGTTTTAGTAAGTGTTATTTTACATATCATTATATGTACATGGGTGCCTATAGAAAGAGGCAAGAGGGAGCACTTGCCCCCCTTTAAATTTCACAAATATTTTAGTAATTTTTATTGAAACTATAAATGTGTTTGCGATTAAGCACACATAATACATATTCTTTTAGTCTGCTGACTTTCTAAAAGCTGCTCCCCCTTGAAATATTTCTGTGGATGCCCATATGTATATACATGAAGGTCTTTAACAGAATTTTTAAAACAACATGTAATATTAACTGAAATTTTTTAAAGGGTTAATACTATTTATTATAACCTACTTTTTATCTGAGCAATTGTAAAACAAGATCATAGCAATCATTAAGAATTAGGATGAAAAACTCAAGCTTCAAAGTATAATTATACATTTATTATTTTCATAATCTAAACATTTTATGTTTAAATTACTTCTTAAGACCTCAGAATTATCTGTCCAGCTTGAAGCCCTGGGAGTGAACACAAACTTACCATACCAGCAGTATCATAGAAGTATATCTTTTCTTTTCCACCTCTGTCATTGTCGACGATGGCACTGTACACATCCTCTATAGTGGGGTGGATATTCTACAGATAAGGTTAGAAGTTTGATTAATATCTTAGGATGTAGTAATTGTATTTTTTTTTGGGGGGGGAGCCAAGAAACCTAAGACATATTAGTGAGTTTAAAATATAGTAAACAGAGAAAACAAAATTCTTTTAACTTTTTAGAGAGAGTTTAACAAATGATAACATCAGTTTTACAAACAACTCAATTCATTTTCCTTTTTTAATCCTTTCTTGAATCATCAGGTAGTTATATCATGTGCCATAGAATTAAACAAGTACAGAACGTTATTTGGTTATTAAAGCTGATCTCATAAACATTCTATCTTTTCACCTATGTAAAATAACCACAGAAAACATTTCTTATGTTTTGGTTGCTATGGTTCTGCCTTCAGAGAAGTTCTAAGGATTTCTAAGTAGTGGCAGAGGTTGGGATATAATGTTTTGACTTTTAAACTTGCTAGATGCAAAATAGTAACTAATTAATAATTAGGCTTATGTGATTATATAGGTTGCTATATAACGTGACTGATATCTGACCACTACAACTTTACTGTAAGTACATAGTTTATTTAACAATCCTTCAATTTTACACGAGTTTTAAAAACTTTAAACGTAAATATAATCCAATTATTGTTTGATGCAGAAAAAAGCACGTGAAATAAACCTTTTTTAAATATCTTAACAAAAGATGAGACTAATATTTTATCCTACATTTTGTTTTTTACCGAGCAACATTCTCAATACTTACCTTTTCTAAGTTCCAGTTTCCGTATATAAGCTGCTCCAGAATGGCTGTTTTGCCACAACCTTGAAAGCCACACACAATCACCTTATTCGTCTTTCCTGATGGTACAGATCTTAACATGCTTCTCTGGAATCATTAAAAAAATTGAACAGAATTACTTCGCATAGCACTTATAATGTACAAAATTCAACTGTTTTAATTCTACTGGTTCAAATTTATAACTAATGACATCACAAAAACACGAGTGTCTGCTCGAATTGTTGTTTTGGTGATCCTTTAAAACTTTGTAATTTTCTTGTACAATTTGTTAAAATAAGATACACTTTTTTGTAGTTATTCTAACAGGAATTTCTACTGAAAAGATAACTTTAGTTTCTAGTTAAATGTTATAAATGAAGCTTCTGAATTTGATTCATGAACACTGACTGTTTCTTTTTTGTCATATTACCACATCAAGATGGAGCTGAACATGGCCTAGTCATTAGTGTTCAGACTATAAATGTGAAGGTTCATGGTTTGCTGCACTTTGGGGCTGTGAACACTGTAATATAAAGTGATGGTCAAATAACATTATTTAGTTAAAGAAATTAGTACAGTCCAAGAGTTAGCTGCCTCTCCTCTAGTCTGTCATTTCAAAATTGCATAAATTCTGAAAAAAAAAAAGGTTTAATGGTGGTAATGGGTAAACAAACGACATTGATATAATATGTTGATTAATGTGACTTTCTAGTGTTATTAGTAAAAATCCATATTTGGACAAGTTGAACATGTATATGTTTATCTTTTTTTCACTCTCTAGGAGCAGAAACTGAGATATCACCAGATACCTTTCCTTCAATATTATATTGATGTTTTTGTAGCTGTGTGTGGGTTAAATTTGGTGTAAAAATAAATACAAAAACAATAAGTATTACAATTTTATATAGCATGATATCTCGGTCTTTATTTTCAAGTTCAGATGAGCGAATATGTAGGGATAGCTCGGATTGTTGGTATTTTAAATATCTTCTCAATAGGTCATCAGAACTTTACAATACTGTACAATTTTTCTTTTAAGTTTTTATTTGCTTGCATATAATAGTAACAATACCAGACAGGGGAAGTCGAGCTATCCTTTTTTTTTTTCTTTTTTTGAACTCGTGATGTTTTATATTTTATTTTATTTTTCCTATCGTAATTCATATTCATATGTGTATGTGAGTTACTGTGTAAGCTAATTTAGTAACTATAAATAAGACACGTAAGTAAACGTGGAATTAGGTTATAGACACCAAGTTTAACATTTGTGTTTATTACATAACTGAAATTTACCGTTCAATAATATTTCCTACTTTGAAAACGAAAAACCCACTTGGAAACCAATACTCCACAAATGGCTCGAACAGTTAAATACTAATATTATAAACCTGTGATCCTAATTGCAGCTACACCCTCTACTGGTGTAAAAGTAAAATAAAACTTCAAAACAAATAAAAAAATTGTTTTATACTAGAGAAGGTTCTACCCAGCAAAGAGAACAGTGAGCTAGAAAAATATAAGTGAGAGCGTGAAGCGCTTCCCCTACTATTTTGGACAGTATTTCACGGTTATAGTTGTTTCAAAATAGAAATGGGAAACTTACGTTTCCATTTATAAGCATTACTTTTCAAGT